GTTAGGGAGGATCCACACACGAAAAGAAGGCCTTGTACAGAAAGACTGGAGACGCTCTCAAAACACTGAGTATGTAGGTTATAGGACAGCAGCAATCCTGAAGCAACACATGTAATCAACAAAACAAGTCCAGTTTTTTATCTTTGAAATGACTCTACTTAACATGCTGCTAACAATAGTAGATTTGTGTTAGAAGCAATCACAGAGATTCACACACACAAATGGACCCGAGGGATTTCCTTAACGACTAGAGTCCAGTGACCATGACAACACTAGCATCAACTTACTTTACAGTAAGCACAACTGATCCTCACTCCCCTTAAACAAGCCTTTATTCTTAACAGGGTTGAAACTGTATCAAAAAATGTATTGAAAAATGTGTCATCCCTATAGCTAGAAGCGGCCATCCTGCATTTAGTCCTAAATATTTTCCAGGCACAACTTAGTCTGTTTAAAAGTAACTTACATGTATAAAAAATAATATTCCTACTCAGTTGCATGGTTTTGTTAAATTGGGCAGCCCTGAAACGTACTACAGGTCACATTAATATATTTTAAACTAAAACAATGCCACAAAATGCCTTTCTGAAATTTAATCTCAACATTAGTTTAAAGAACTAGAGCCCAGATGCCTGGATGTAATGCAAATACCATTACCATATATGGGAAGCACTAAACAGAATTGTCTCGGGGTACAGGAAATGGCTTAGTTTGATTCTGGATCATAAACAGCACTTTTCCCTCATTTGGTTTCAGTTTCCCCTTTTCCCTTCTTACGACAGTGTGCTTAAATGAACAAACTGAAATCTGTGCCTGCCTAAGAGCCAGATAGCTGGATGATAATCATACTAAACTTAACAGGGACTATATTAAAGATAAGGAAAAAACACACTGTACTCACATACAGGAAGTAATCAGTGCAAATGCTCATATGCCAAAAGGGTGAGGAAGATAACTTTTGCATTTGGCCTCTGAAATTGCTCGTTACTATTACAAACAGATCACTGTATACCATAAGATACTGGAACTTAATCAACTCAAATAAGTACAAATAATGAATATTAATGTACATTATTTATAGAAGTAAATGTATCAACTATACTCCGGCACAAATAACTACCTAGTCTATATGATAATAATACTGCTGATACCAATATATGAACAATTACCAAACCATTCTATTGCAGTAGAGTAGATGATATGTAAACGCCTAACTTGACAAAGAATTTCTCTCTTCATTGCAATATGACATTTTGTGGTGGCCTAACTTTCTTTCTAAGCAGTGTGTCCACCCACTGTCTGTTTGCTTAGATTTGCACTATGGCAATGCTCACTCACTCTGTTTAAAGTGCTGACAGAGACATTTATCCCATCCAGGACAAGGGAGGAAAATAAACAATGATGTGATATGAATCTGAGTAGAACTGCAGCATTCACAAAGTCTGTTCAGACTCAGTGAAATAGGTGCACTTACTGTAGGTAGGGATTCACCAATCCAGCTTTTTCGGTTCCGATATTGATACAAACATTATGAGACGTTCTAGGCTAAACATCCAATTAAAGGCCCAACCAGGGTATCGGCTTAACCAAAATTATGAAACTGATACATGATCCAGCAAATGTTTCTGCTTCAGCACCGATATTCTATACAGCTATCTGTGCTTCCCTAGTTATAAGAGCAACTGGTGAAAATTTTGTGAAATCCCTCAGTCCTATAGCTGACAAGGATGGATTGCAAACTAAGATACAGACAAAACATAACTGAGTCTCGCTTGGGCTATCTGGACATGTTTTTTGTCTATTAATAAACGCATCAAACAAAATGTTACAAATATGCATTGGGTAGACTTGGTCAGTTTTATGGTGATAATCTTTTGCATGGGCCATTCTGTGAATGATTCACAATAGCAGATTAGACAGAATGTAAACACTGAACTCCACAGGAGCAATGACTGGCATGAGAAAAGGGAAGGGATATTTGCATTTAACCATGTAAAACAAGTCTAATGCACTTCTAACTTTTAACCATGTGATATCAAATCAAAGACATTCTTATGTGACACAGTTAAATGAGAGTTGACCGAGACCATATTGCTGCCATGAGGCAGGGCTGAGCACCATCTCTCCCATTTAATGTGCACATAATAACTTTGTGAAAACAAATGCTGTTAATTAACATACAAGTCACCACAACACATTGCTAATTATGTAGCTATGGGAACAGAGCTCTAATTTAAGGAACATTGCAAAATCTCAAAAACCTTTCAATCTCTATCTCATTCAGTACAGGCCAAATAACAAAGAGATGCCAGACAATGTGAAACTTAAACCTTGTGGTTCCAGTCTTGTGTCTTGTGTTTCACTTAGAGTAAAAGTAACCTGCAACAGGTCAAGAGATGTTTGGAAATCTTGTTTTTAAAAGTTTAACAGTAAAAATTGTTCTAATGAAAGTTTTAATAAGAGTAACTGTCATATACAGCCATACTGTAGTATTTGTTTTAATATCAACAATAAATGCAACAGCCTGCACACTGTTAATCTATGTAATAGAAATAGAATAGGAATTATATCCTCGTGTCTCTCATGTACAGAAGCCAAAGGTCACATTTAATGGACCAGTACAGTGTCAGCAGGCGAACACTTAATCTATACAAATACAACTTTTCAAAATAATTATATGCGTCACCAAGAGAAAAGTTAATCACTTCCTGGCATTAGACATTCATATTTCACCTTTAACAAAAGATGCTGAGAGGTCAAGAGAAGTATTTTATGGATGTATTTTGTCAGTATTATTTGAGCCAAGTACAAAGAACTAATAGAAAATTTAAAACTTTGATGAAGAAGGCAGCCATAAAGGCATCATATGTAACTGTTTTGCTCTAATCTTATCTGTGCTAAATTGGGTCAATTGTCTAAAAATGAAAACCAGTAAATAACTGCTCAGTGAAACCTAAAGACATATACACTGTCTTGCCATTTCACTACTAAGAGGCAGAGGCTACAATGCTCTAGCATATTGACCAACACAAATAAAGCCAGAACACAGTGTGCACATAGTGAACCAGTGACAAGCCTAACGAGTTCCCCAGGTCCATGCAATGATTCTGCTCTCCTGTTAACAGAGAGGACTTGAATTCCTGAGCAAATTTCTGCAGCAGTGATAGGTCTGAAGTGAGGGAAAGATGGGGGTTACTCAGTATGCACCTCCCAAACAGGAGAAGCCCTAATGCAAACCATCTGCTGTCATACACAGCATCTGGCACAGAGGAAACTTCTCAGTGAAGCCGGCGTCTGACACTTCAGACATAATGACAATATCAGAATGTTCTATGTAAAATACACTTAACATTACTAAATGTGAACTTAGTATTCAACATAAAACCATATACCTTGATATAATTATTGCCCTGTTGTATACAACATATTGCCTTCGGTAGATTACACGGCAAGTGTAATCTACAGGGAAAAATAAAGTCACTGTCCTTGTGAACCTACTCATAAACCATCACACATTTGATTGCTTTCCTGGGTGTTTCTGTTCATTAGAGTTCACTTACATTGTGCAACCTTTGAACATATAATGTAATGTGAGGCCGACAAAAGGCTTAAAGAACTACAGAAAAGTGGGACAGACAGTAGTGTTGCCCAAACACACAACTGAATCCGCAAATGTTATCCTCAGTAACATAAGTCTAGGTGTGTCTGTTGCTGCAATAGTGGGTGGCATTCGACTCTGACCAGGAAAAACCAGTCTATGAAAGCCAGATAAACACACACAAATGACACTTGTTCCCTGTCTCATGTCCCAGGTCAAACCGGTTCTTAACACAGGGCTGTAGGCCATTGATGAGAGCATCTATTTTTACAGTAAACTACAGCTGGAAGGGAGGCATTTAGGCCTACAGTAAAGATACAGATAATTCTATAACATTGTAGACATTTAATGGAAACTGACATTACCATTTAGAGTAGACAAATAAGTCAACTTCTTCAGCAAATTATTGTAAAAAGAATATTAAACATTTATTTTATAAATTTGGATGAGTTGTATCTATTTTTCTTAATATAAAAAGCCCAAAGCCATAGCCAGACAGCTTTAAACTTCTGATAGGTATCAGAAGTGGGCTCGATGATAGCATACTCACCATCTTCTCCCTTTCTTTTCCTTTCCTAACAACCCCAGAATGTTTAATCCGCGTTCAAGAAATATATTCCTGTAAAAAACCCCACAGTTCAGCTTCAATGTTGTCCTGCGTCCATTCTGCAAACCCAGCTAAAGACTTCACTGACAGCCCCACGTCGGCGAACAGTGGTCTACAGACGGAGCAGTACCTCTCTGGTCCGCCACTCAAAAACATTACAAAGGAAACTGCACCAGGCAATCCAATGAAAAGGCTGGAGGACCACAGAAACTTTAAATATTCATGAGACGGACTAACGATGAGCATGCGCACTCACAACTCCTAACGCGATTATACCAACTAGTTTCCATCAGTCATTTGGAAAATAAATAGTCAGTGTAAATTAACATTTGATTTAATTTGGCTTAGCTAGCCAGTAGTTTTAAAACTTAATTAATTCATGTTATGTAGGTCTAGGGTGTGGGTTGAACTTGTTTCACTCGCTATAATTATTTACGGCATCACATTGTACATATGAAAATTGGAACTCTGTAACTTGACTGCATTCATAAATTGTACAAAAACAGTTGTTGCTTGCTCCTTAAAATCATAAAAAAGAACATGTATTGCTTAAAAGTAGACGGCTGCTCACACGACTGTGTAGATCATGTATTTTGTCTCTATCTAGTGGACGTCTTTAACCATTACATTTTCTTTTTTTCTTTTCAAGTTCAAGTTATTTGAAACTTGTCAACTTTCTCCACATCTCATCACATATGTGTTTTACTTTGTTTGATTGGTGATTTTTTACTTTTTGTAATATATAGGCTATATCGAACTGGAAAACGGCAGGGGAAATCTTAAATTATGAGGAACTATTTGTTGTGAAATTGTAGTCCATCATTATAACTCAGTATATTGGACGAAGGTGGGATTGAGTAATGTACAAATGAAAAATGTTTAGTGTATGATCCAGGTGGCATATACCCCGAGGTGCAGGAGCAACAGTTGAGCCCGGAAGAAGGGCGGGCCACGGGGACTCGGCTTCGTATAAACATGGCGTTTAATCCAGTTTACTGCGTACAGCGTTTGACTGATTAGTGGAACTTTAAGGAAGTAACTTTTCAGGACGTCTCAGCTTCATAACAGGTGGAAATAATATGACGTCGAGACACCCAACGACTACCAATTGATAATGGTGTTATTTCTTCAGCGGTTTGGCTGGATTTGATAATTTCTTAGCTTGTTAGCTAACAGGCTAACACACTGACGTCTCTGGATTTACTTCTGTCAACTTTTCAGTGCTCTTTACTTCAGGGCTGCTTGCTTGATTCAGGGAGTACAGACACCGGGCCTCGATGAAGATTTTACACACAGACATAATCCTCTATGTAAGCTGAGGACTGGCAAACTTTTCTGAAGCAATCATTTGATGTTTTTTCTCAGTTTGTTATTAACACCAAGAGGGCGGAAATAAACAATGTTTTCAGCAAAACCTATAAAGGCAACCTTCAAGTCCTATCTTCCTCCTGTGCAGGTAAGTTTTGTTTACAGTTTCATTGTAGCAGTTTCTTGATAGTGAAATATGTCAAAGTATAACTAATTGCAATGCAATTTTGACCTGGTTATTTTTGCATGTTATTGTAATTGTGTGCATCATGTGCTGATGGTTTAACTTCAGTTAATGTTTTATTTATATGGAACATTATTGTCCTATAGTTTTAACGAGTCTCAAGTTTATTCAGCCAGCTTTGTTCATTTACAATTAGAAACAAGTTAACATCCACTGTACATGCTAATAAATAATTTATTTTACCCTTTCCCATTCTCATGTTTCTGTCCAGACAGAGAAGCCCATTGATCCGCCCATTAAAAAGGTGGAGCCCCAGTTACTTTTGGGTAAGTGTCCAACACTTTGCACACCATCAACTAAACATTTGTGTGTAACAGGTCTAACAAGCATTACCAGAGCAATCGTAGTCAGCAAGTCTGAGATTTATATAGCTTCTGCACATGCACACCCTTGTGGGAGGTATTTGTGAAGTAAATAATAACCACTAACAACATTTATTTTCATTTTGCACAACCAGTTTTCTGAAATTCACATGTTGTCAGTTAATTTGATTTTAACTTTAAATAAAACCCTGATCTTTTCAGAAATACCCTACAGGTGTTTTAAATTGTAAAATGTAATTATCCCTTAACACTGATCAAAAGGTTTTTCTTTGTACTTTTGGCTCTGGACAGATTTTTTGACGTACTGCAGAGTCTGTCATTGGCAATGCTGTGCTGCTTTTGAAGTGAGGGCATGAAGGACTCCACCCAAACCTCCCCATTTATCATCACTCAAATGTCTGGTGCAACTTTTACAGCTGTGTTTTTGAGGTCTTGTTAGGAGCAAAGGTCTCTTAACTTGGCTAATGTTAAATCATTAGCACATCATTATTTTTTTTTCTATTGTATCTACAGTGTAGATGCTATAAAGTACATTTTGTAGACAAAAAATTTGTCTCTCCATTCAAAATTTAGTTTAACTCTGTAGGGGGCACTTTTTTCCACCAATTAGTAGGTTTAGATGAGAGTTTTACAACTCTTTACAGTGATTTTCAGCCTGAGGTTGAGACTCCCTCAGAGGAGATGATTAAAATCTGTAGTCAAGAAAATGCCGACTAAGCATTTTGCAATTTTTAATCCAAGGTGGCCAACTTCTGGTTTGTCTGAGGGCGTGGTTGTATTAATATTTTATGTTTGCCTTCACGTGATGCCGAATTTTGTGACTCTACAACAAACTTGCCATTTTTGAAATTGCCTTGCATGGTAAATATATATATATTTTTTTTAAATCTCACTTGAGTTTTTGAAATCAATAAGGGAGTCAAATTTCTGCTCAAAAAGCAGACAAAGAAGAAGTAAACTAATAATAATAATAATAACAATAACATCAACAATAATAATAATTTGGGCAAAAACACTATATTCATTGCCACTTCAACAACATATGCTTATTTTTAATTTTTTTAAAGCTGTTGGTATTCCCCAAACCACCATCACCTTAGGGTCTCCCACTAACCTCCCATTGACTTCCATTCATTTCAGCAGTTAATGCATGTCCCTTGCACTCATCTTTGCAAAAACAATAGGCTCTGTATGGGCTAGGGCCTAATAAGTATTCTCAGGTTTGACTTGTGTAGCTTTTTAAATTGCTTTTGGCATTTCTTCAAGTATAATGGACATATAAAATACATTGTTCTTTTTTCATCCATATTTTATGTTGGGTTTATTATAAATGGCAGTATTGATACAAAATGAAAACAGGAATTAACTTCTTATTCAACTGCAGAACTGAGAATCCCCAAAGCAGCATTTCAGCGTAGCAGTAGTTTGTTTACTTTTTTTGTTGAAATGGATATATGACATTTTTTAACCCTGCAAGTATTCTCTTGAGCCTGAATATTTTGAATCATCACAGAAAAGTAGGCGAAGATGGCTAGTAAGTGGAAACAGAAATTTTCCCCGCACTCAGTTCTCAAATGTACGACAATATAAGATTACTCAAACTACATAGATACAACTTTGAGTAAGTTAATGGTGAAATAACACCAGCATGGTTAAAAAGTTATAAAATAAACCACAGTCCAGCCATGAAGAAGTCAAATGAGTTTTTGAAAATGTTTATATTGTTGTTAACAATATGTTTTGTTTTGTTTCCAGGGGAGATTGTAGTGAATGAAGTCAACTTTGTGAGGAAATGCATCAGCAATGAAAATGGGCATGATGATCTTTGGGGGAAATTAATCTGCACCAACTTTAAGGTCTCATTCATTCCTCAAGAAGTCTCTGGAAAAACGGTGTGTTTTCTTTACTACTATACTTTCCAACTTAATGCATCACATCTTAAAGTCAATTTTGTCATGTAATTCAGTTACAGTAACCAACGTGTTTGTGAGATTTTTGTGAGACTATTGCATGAAACAAACACAAAGAATAGAACTACAAGTGTGCATCTGGCACAGAGGAAGGGAAATTGCACTTCCTTGAGCCACATTGTCAGTGAGACCACATAAGTGAGAAAATGCGTCATTTCCTGCCATGCAGGAGATTGGTGCCAGGACCTAGATTTAGACCAACAAACTATAAAGGAAGTGAAGAGGAAGATGATGGCCCTTGTCCAAACCAGTTCCTCCTCCCTCTCTCTCATCCCTCACACACTATTCCTCCATCGGAGTCCCTTCATCATTGCACATAGTACAGCTAACAACTGTCATCAAATATCAACTTCTATAATAGTAAAATAAAATAATTCATTTACATATTACAGAGGATAAAAGGCTTATTCAAAATTTGAAGTGAATTTAGCATGTTAAATTGGCTAATCATGCTTGAAAGAGTGTTCTTTTTTATGCTGTATGTCAAATAGTCATCAAAATCTTTGTACTGCTTTTCTCTGCAATCTAAGAGTACACATCTGTCCCATCTTTTACTCGGAGAACATGACATCCCACTGACTTGTTTGGATCAAGTTGTAACAGGTAAAATTTACATAATGGCTAATGGTATTTTTTCTTATGGACTCTGCCTGTCTGCTGCATAATATATTATTCACGTATTAAATATAACTTGGCCTTTGTTCAGGTTTACCTATGCTACTTGGTCTGTCCGAAACTGGCACACTGTCAGACTTGTAGTAATGTAGATAGTGGAGTTATCTGAGAATAAAACGGGGTCAGGCCCGCCAATGTAATAATGACTACTCATCTTCATGGAGATGCTTACTGCATGTTTAATGCCATATTGTGGAACATTCCAGACAAAGCAATAACATCTGCATGTAAACAAACAGATTGTGTACCCTTTACAAGTCAAGTTGTGCAGTGCACCTTTCATGCCATAAATATTGTGCACATTGCATGCTAAAGCTCTATGCAGAAGCAGTTTACAGGGTCATGTTACATGTAAGGCTGCATGTACCTTTAGAATCTAAATATTTCTGTGTTTAAACTGTTGCTTTATTTCAGTAAATGACACAAAGGGGAAAAAGAAAGTCTTGGGTTCAAACCAAAAGCTGAAATTTAATCCCACTGAGCTCATCTTGTACTGTAAAGACTTGAGAATTATCAGATTCTGTTTTGACGAGGCTGGTCCGGAAAGTGCCAAAAAGGTAAGTGGTATCATATTTTGCAGATTTCTTTTTATTATTTGAAATATAAAGATTTTTTTTCTCGACACTAAAAAAACACAAAATTGAGAGACATTGCTGCAGTTTTCATTTGACATAATACATTTTCAGCTACAGCATAGGACCAAACAAACACAGCTACATTCACTGACCAGTGCTAAACTGCCTTCATTTCTCATGTGTTTTTTTTTTCTTTTATTGGAACATTGCTTATAATTGCAAACAGGACCTGAAACGTCTCCCGTTAAAACGTATAGAAACAAGACTGCTCAAAATAAACTGCCAGAGGAAATTGCAGAGTAGGGAGCAGTCTTTTCTCCAGACACACAGTGGCCTACAGTTTCTCTGTGCCCTGTCCTGGTAGTCACAGCTTCACTGAAAGGCCACTGTTGTGTTTTGTATTTCTTTGGTTGAGTCACTGAAATGTACAGTCAGCCAGGAGTAAACTCTGCTCTGTCAATCATTGTGGCCACTTTTCACTTTTAGGTTTGTGCTAATCCAGCTGTTCAGTTTATGTTTTACTTCTCAATCATTCTGATTGTCACCAATTTGCAAACCACACAAAAACATTTAGAAACATTTAAATACTGGTTACTCATTTACCAGGTTTGTCTCGCCATTGCCCACTATTCACATCCAGCTGACCTTCACCTTTTATTTGGCTTTGAATATCAAGGGCGGCGATATCATGAACAAAAAGGTTTGACTGAAATGTTATTATTTGAAATATAATTTTTGTTTTTGAGTTACAAGTATAATAAAATGTCACATGCAATGACAATTTGGCAGAAACTGAAATCAATGGGTTGACTCCACGGATCGGTCAACAGACTGTTGTGTTTGACCGTCCTTCTGATTGGGACCGAGAGATTAAGAGAACGGGAGCTACAGAGTGGAGAGTGTGCTCCATCAATGAACGTTACTGCATCTCTCAGAGGTTTGTCTGAACATTTTTTTGAAATGTATAATTTACGTTTTTAGCACTAGAAACGGATACCTGACAAGAGTAAAACCACAGGAATTATTATAAACTGTTAATGTTTTGTTAAATTATTGAATGTGGATTTTTTACATATTTCATGTAGTCTTTCTGAGTATGTTGTGGTACCAGCATCTCTGGCTGATCAGGATCTAAGACAGTTGGCAGCCTATTTCTCTGACAGCCGCATTCCTGTAAGTACCAATGTGTTACATTCAACATTCATTAAACATTATTCCAATACTTTAAAAAAATCTTCACTGCTAAATGAATACATAATATTGAGGGAGGGCACATAAAAAAATGAATGAACTTGTTTTTCTTGTATTTTTAGCTCTGGTGTTGGAATCACCCTAACGGTAGTTCACTTGTTCGCATGTCCAACATTGCGGATTCAATACAACAGAAAAAAATTGAACGGTCAGTGAAATTTTGTAACCAGCCTCTTTTTGAGTGAATCTACATGGCCTGTTTTGTTCTGTAGGATCTTAAATGCCATTACAAAAAGTCACCCCCAGCACAGTGAGGTCGTAAGACTAGACCTGGACAAGGGCCTCCCAAATATCCAGGACATTCAGAGTGCCTTTTCTAAAATAAGGCAGATTTGCGTTATTGGTGAGATTAATTGTCATTAACATTTAAAATAAGTATTATGTGACAATTTGTTTTCAAATGTATGATTGTGATTAATGTTGCGACTGCCTGTAGATCCGTTCGAAGAGTCAGAAGAGAGATGGTTTTCATGTATTGAGAACTCCCGCTGGCTTGAGTATGTGAGAGCCTTTCTAAAGCAGTCTGCTGAGATAGTGTACCTCATTGAGGGAAAGGGGTCTTCTGTTGTCATTTCAGGTACATTTTACTTATTTTTGTCAAAGCATGGGTTTCTTCTTAATCTTTAATAAATAAAGTTATTGTCTTTTGTGAACCATGATTCCATCCACAGACCTCTATTTAAATGTTTTGTAATTTTATTCTTTTTGGTTTTTTGTGTCATGTGGTAATTACTTTTTTTTTTTTTTTTTAACAGAGGAAGAAGATCGAGACTTGAACTGCATTGTTTCCTCTCTAGTGCAGCTCATGCTGGACCCTCAATATCGCAGCATCACAGGCTTTCAAGGCTTGGTGCAAAAAGAATGGGTGATGGCTGGTCATCGCTTCTTGGACCGATGCAACCACTTAAAGAAGAGTGATAAAGAAGAGGTATATAAGTGCAAATTAACCAACTATTCAGGCTTGTGTTAAATGTGTAAACCAATGACTTGTATTCTGTGTTCTCTTTTTCTAGTGCCCATTGTTCTTGCTTTTCTTGGACTGTGTATGGCAAATGATTAACCAATATCCAGCTGCATTTGAGTTTACAGAAACTTACTTGACTGTGTTAACTGATAGCATGTGGATTCCACTCTTCAGTACTTTTCTGTTCAACTCAAGTCTTCAGCGTGCAAGACATTTATTGGTAACTATAATAGTTTGGTGGATTTAATTTCTACAATTCCAATTGTAATTATATCTCAAATTTCTACAGGACTTTGCCAAAACAAAGGCTATTCCTCCAGGGGAAGAACAAAATGTTTATTTCCCACCAGTTTGGGAATGGTCACAGCAGTTCACTGCCAAGGAACAAACTCTTTTTAACAACCCCATGTATATAGGAAAACGTGCTGCTTGTGTTCACAACGGGGAAATCAAAACTTTCAAACGTACAAAGGTTTGTAATAGAAAATGTTTTTTTTGTTTTATATTTTTAGAGCCAACTTCTTTTTGCACTATTTTTGACCACTGCTGTGGAAGCTATAGACTTAGTTTTATGGTATAAGCATTGACTGTATAAAGAATTGGACTAAGAGTGTGACATCACCCATAGCATTTGGCTCCACTCAAATGAAACTTGCAGTGCTAATGGTTAATGGGGCCAGGATCCATATTGGGAATAGGATTTTTTCAACAGACAAAATAGCGAAATAAAAACACCAGGATCATGTAGAGTGGGTTAATACAAACATTTTAAGACCAAAATGACAAGGCTCACTGCAGCAGTTGGAGAGAGGTGGGAGCCAGGGAATATTGGTAAAAATCAATGTGCCTATATGTGTGTATCATTAATTTATGGTATTTACTCAAGAGAATGTGATCTTTTTTGTTCCAGAAAGCCTACAGTGCCTCTGTAAAAGGAATTCTTGTGTCTGTGGCAAATGGACTCAGAGATGGAGAGGGAACACTGACTCGTCGTCCGTCTTTTATGTCTGAGCTAAAGCCGGAGTTCTCACCAGTGAAAGATGTGGTCGAAAGCCCCTCTGAGCTTTTTTTCAGAGACTGGTTTTCTCGAACTGTAGATTTGCAGGGCACATTACTGCCTATGATTTTGCCCTCACATATAGTACTTTGGAAGCTCTTCTTTTTACGGTGGGTTCCTGAAGCTTGCATTCCAAAAGGGGGTCCCATAACAACATACCACAAGCTCTGCCAATTGGTTGATGAAATTGAAATGTTGCAGTGTAAGCTTAGGCAGTATAAAGGACCAAGTCCTGGTATCAGTCCAGAACCTAGCCCGAGTAAGACACATTTAGAGCAGAGACGTATGTATTTTAATGCTGGTTGCTTAGATGAGCCCCACTCACTTCCTGACTTTCTTACCTCATCATTTCCTTTTACCCCAATGGGAAACCTGTGCCGCCGTAGCACCCTTGGGACTCCCATTAGCAAGTTTTTGAATGGTGCAAAGATATGGCTTTCCACTGAAACTCTTAATGACACAGTCTGATCATCTAATCTGATTGCCCCCTTAGCTCAATCATGCGCCAACTGCTATGTAACAGTTCATCATTTTATTGACACAAAATGCGTTAGTACTAGTAGTGAATTAATGTTATTTAAAAAGAAAAGAAACATTGCATTTATGTTCTAATTGTGAAAGTTACTGATTGAACTAAATTAACCACAGTAACCAAGTAAACTTTAAAAACAAACTTCATAATGAGTAATATGTAAATATAAAATTTGGTGGGACAGCAGACTGTAAAATAAGTCTTGGATTGATTGCAGTGGGATGTTGCATGTCTCCTAAGTTAAATGCTTGCAAACATGTGCAAAGTATAATTTTTGGTTTTTAATACAGATAGGAAGTGATATCTTGTAAGAATTGCCAGTAGTTGATGTTTCCTCATTTCTTCTGAGCTGGTTTACAAAAGCATATGGGACCAAAAAACATTGCTGCAAATAGAAACAATTTGCAATCCTTGCCACCAGCAATATTTTTGTAATTTAGGTTTGAATATAATTTTTACCTAATTAAATTGCTGAACACAGACAAGGCAATACACTGTATTATTGTAGGTTTTAATATTCCAGAAGTAGACTAATAGGAAATATAATTAAATTTAGTTTAGTTTTGAAGAGTTTTTCTTTTTTCATTTAAGTATTGAATTAAGAAAAGATGAATTTATATTTTTATAGCCCCAAATTATGTTTTGTTGAAAACACTGCTATGCAAACAGAGTGTGTGTATATACATATATACAGAAATAGAATCAAATAAAATTTTGTATATTCTATTTTAAGTTTGTTGAAAAACAGCACAATACCAGATCTTTCATTGCTTTTTATTGCACATTCTTGTTTATTCATTTGATTATTTTTAAATGTTAACTGTCATTTTTCAATGGCTATATGTGTTTGAAATCTAATTAATGGTACTAATCTAATGGCTGATTTACCCTTTTCTGCAAGCAAAAGGTATTTACTATGCTTTCTCATAGATAACTGTGTCTTTTGGAGTGATTCTTATGTAGACCGTTTTTATTCTTTATAATTTGTATTTATTAAGATTTAGGTGGAGTTGCAGTGTACTACGCAGTTCAAGTGTGCGGTGGGAGTAGTGACTTTTAAAGCTTTACAATTTTCTAACAGTAAAGAATTTAATGTCAATGTTATTTACGTTTTGCACTGAATCTGATTTTTGATGAAACAGGTAATTACATTATTTTTCCAACTAGAACATTCGTTGTACTCTGTTGTTTTGTTTTTGTTAATGGAGTCTTTTCATTTTTATCCCATATTGAAATAACGTGGACATTGCATCACGTCGACAATGGGTTACTTCCCACAGATCTAATGGCATAATGTATAACTTTGGGTTATTCACTGTTAACATATTCTATTGTAAAAGTAGGCCAAAGAGGAGCCACCAAATTAATTTGTAGTAACCAGCATTTGTGAGTGTAAAACACAGAGCTATAATAAAATCATATTATAGATCCATGGTGTAAAAACAGGAAATTGAATTAGCCCGATGACGTCATTGAAGAGCGCCTCTGTTGGCCTCCAAAATGGGTTCGACTCCTTAGCCTTGATTTATTAATGTGTTCTTCAACATATCGGCGTTTTTTCACTGGATCCCCATCCGCAATGACATTTAGAGGTACGTGTACAAAGCAAGCCAATGCAATTATTTCACCCATGTTTAGCAATTACATTTTTGTTATAGTATGCCGAAAAAGAGCTAGCTAACGTGGCTAACTAGCACTGAGCTAAGATATGAGCTCTGGTAACTCATGAAATACAATGCAACGTTTATAATGGTAATAGTATTAATAATAACTCTAGTCTGATTAAACCACTGATGTGTCTTGTCTTACATGTGCAAGTCGATAATTGTATCTCAAACATGTTGGCCATTATCTTTTGATAAAGTTATATATAGCAAATATATGGGCATTTTATTTTATAAATATTTGCCTGATGAAATGTAGATTTAGTTATTTGTTATTTTTTGAAGATGGAGTTAAAGTGAATTAGACAGATTAGACTTCCCATTTTACAAAAACACCTAGTAAAAATACCTACGATTTCTCAAATCTTGCCTAGTTTTCACTAGTTTGATGAATATGGTTAAGTTTAGAATATTATTCCTTGGTTTCTTCATGGACAGCAGAAGAAGTGGAAATATATATATATATATATATATATATATATATATATATATATATATATATATATATCCCTTGCTTTTACTTTTGTTGACTAGACCATTTCAAGAATTAATCAGTACATTTTTAAACTTTGGTGTTTGAGCCTTTTTATTTTGTGTTTAGGTGATTTACCACCCGACGACCAGGAGATATTGCAGCTGGTTTCCGTGCAAGCTTACTGGCTTGCAAGTGTCCTCTCCTTTGCGGTGCAATAACTTAACACTCTCTTTTGGAGAATTGCAATGAAACCAGCTCAGGAGCGTAACCAGGAGTGCCTGCCTCCAAAGAAGAGGGACCTGCCAGTCACGGACAGCGGGGCAGGGCTGACGTTTGGAGGAGGAGGTGGGAATGCTGTTGGAGAGGAGGAAGTTGTTTCCCTTCAGAATTCTGCAGCAAACAATGCAGATGCTCAGGGAGGAGTCAAAACTGGGGAATGGTTGCGAGCTCAGCCAGCTGAACATTATAATATGGAAAGTTCTGATAGTATACCAGCAGTGCCCGTAGACCAGTACAGTATGCTCTACAAATTAGCGCTTCCATCTGTTACATATACACCGTCCACTCTTCATCCAGTGTTAAGCCACATTTCTCCAGCGTATACTGTACACTCACCACTCCTGCAGCATCCTGGCCTCCCCTACCCCCATCCTCTTGGCTATGCTCAAATTCCTCATTCCTCTCTTCAGTTTGTTACCTCACCATATGCCGTACCGTATGCTATACCCCCTGGTTTTGTTCCAGGCTCATTAATGTCTCCCACAGGCTCTATTTCTCAACCCCATGCTGTGTCCCACTTGGTACAGTATCCTCCAGTTGTGCAGGAAGGTGTTGTTTCACCACCTCCTCAGCCCCAAGTAGCTGCTCATTCATTTGCTAAAGTTCCAGTGTCTGGTGTTCCCTTCATGCTGCCTTCGGAGCAAGCTTCTCAGCAGCACCTAGGCTCTGGTCTATCTGGAGCAGAGCTGGGATCACGGGGTGTGCCAGTGTATTACCATCCACAGGGTGTGAGGGCCTCTGCTACCTCTAGTATTCATCAGGCAAGTGAGAGAGAAATGAATGGAAGAGACAAATGTTCTAGGGAGGTTCTCACAGATGTTACCCACTCTGTGAAAAATGTACATCTGCCACAGTCAACCAGCTTCTCAACACAAGACACCCAGAACAAACCTCTCCAGTCATGTCGGCCAGAAGAGAGAAGTTCACCATGTCAGCGTAGCACCCCTGACAGTGACTTGGAGGTTAGAATTTAACTGTTTATTATTTAAGATTGAAGTAAAGCATTTTCTAAAATGTGGTCCACTATTTAACTGCAAATTTCATGAAAAATGTATTGTAGAATTTGTGAATAATAGATACATTTGTATTGATCTTTCAGGTGCAGCAAGTGGTTGGTCGTTTGGTGTCTAATGTTGGTCGAAAGGAGGTCTCTTTTGCTCCTTTGAACCTTTCTCAGAGCACACAAAGAAGTAAAGATGTCCATGGAGAGAGCACAGGAGGTATCTCTGGTCGTAATGTACATCCGGCTCAGTCTGTGAAGGAGTCGCGAATGAACAGCATCCAACAGCAGCCGGCATCATCCGGACATGCAGTTGTCATAGCCAATGGGCAACCAGTCCTCATTCCCCTTGAGTACACTGCTCAGCATCAGTCACCCACAATTCAGCATAATTACCCAGGACTAGTAAATAATGAGTCGCCCAGCCGCTTTAAAGCCTCTGATTCTTCTGCCAAAGTGTGCCTACCTGAAAGATCTTCAGGGGAATCTACCACAGCCCACAAGCCCTCTGTCCAACCCATTACTGACTTGACTCAGGGCATAGCTCCCGCCACACCCTCCACTCCATCACACTTTATGAAGGGGGCTATTATCCAGCTAGCTACGGGAGAACTTAAGCGAGTAGAAGACCTACAGACACAGGACTTTGTGCGAAGTGCAGAGCTGAGCGGAGGTCTAAAGATTGATTCTAGCATGGTGGTGAACATACATGCAAGCCAGCAGAGACCAGGTCTAGTTTCACTTCATTTCACAGTTGGAGAACAGCAAAGCAAAGTGACCATTGATGTTCCACCCGAGCACCCTTTCTTTGTTTTTGGACAAGGCTGGTCGTCCTGCAGCCCTGAACGCACAGCTCAGCTCTATGGTTTACCCTGCCATCATCTACAAGTAGGAGATGTTTGTGTGTCTATCACTCTGCAGCAGCAGCAGCAGAAACTGCCACAAATCTATCCTCAACAACAGGCATTCTCCAGTACGCCAAGCAAAAGTCAACCTACACCTGGATCTGCTCATCAGATCATGGGGCCTCCTGTCTCTCAGCAACCTCGGCCTCCACCTCATTTTAGATTGGACCGCATGCACAGAGAGAGACAACGAGAGGCAGATAAAGATGGACTTGAGAAAGAGGATGCTGTGCAGTTTGTTGGGCACATTGAACCATCAGTTAGATCAAGCAGAGTTTCTGCAGAGCATCCAAGGAGCCACAGCAGCTTTCACTTGCACACAGAGGGGATAGCAGCTGGACAAGGAGTTGCCAATCTGAGACGCTGGTCCTCTCCCAGTCTCCAAAGATACAACGTGAAGGGAGATGATGGTCTGCGATCTCCAGTGAACACTGCGCGGCCCTCTTTCATCCCTCAGGAGGTTAAACTGTCCATTGAAGGGCGCTCTAATGCAGGGAAGTAGCATCAAATTGGTAGCATCTTTTGATGAAACTACCACAGAGATGTGAGTGTGAAATGGAGCAAAAAGAAAATGGAGAGCAAATGTAGCCTCAGAATGTTTGTTTTGCACGACTATGGACCTGTGGTTTACCATCCTGCGAAGGTTTCATAATGAGTTGGTAATAGTAATATCGTAGTATGTAGCATAGTGCTTAGACGTGGCATTAATCTTTCTTCCTCTCCACTGACACCATTGCTTTACATATAACATATTATTATATTATTATATTGCATTAACCTCTCAATAATAGTTGAGGCAAATCACTTTTTGGAAGAATATATGGACTGATTGGCAACGTTAATTAATTTGAATTCAGATTATCATGCCAATATCTTATTGCTTTTTATCTTGAAAAACCAAAAGTAATTGCTGTGGACTACAGCATTTTTGAAGATAATGAGTCATTGTATGTTGCATTTCTGACATCTGCAGAAATATTGTATACTAGCTTTTTACCCATTTTAAATTGAAATATGATGTGCTTGTCCTATAATCACAATGGTGATTAATTGCCCTAAATTGGTCACTGGTAAGTTGGCCACTCGCAGCTCAATTATTCTCCATTATTTAACAGACTACTTCACGTAAGTTACAATCAACATTCCAGTGAATGTTTAGGTTTTGTGAATTGGGATTGAGACTTGTGGTTGTAAGTGAATGTGAGAAATCAGAAAACAGTGGCGTGTCTTTTCTAAATGCCATGTATGGCAGTGTAAAATAGTGAAATTACTTACAGCCCCTTCCTCAATTGAGAGGGTAAAGAAATGCCAAGGAGGAACACTATGGAGGTTGTCTGTTGTGTATGTGCTCTGTTCAATAAGTTCAATGCAACAGCAAATGTCAGTAGCTATTTTTTAGTTGCAACTACTTTGCATACTTCCTTCTGGGACAATGCCATTTTAGAGGTAGGGTCTGGATTTCCAAGTTTAGAATATCCATGATGTTCTGCTCCCCCATGATGTTGGTTGTTGAATTATCCACTATATAACTGTTGTCCATTGATTCTCTAAGACATATGGTTTATGGTGGATGTAATGATTGTCTTGTGTTGCACATAATGTTGCTCATTTATTACACACTGACCTTGGAGGATAAATCACTCTTGGGATGTTTTTATTAAATGAAGGTAATATGTGGTGAGAAAAAGACTTTTAAAACTCTTTTTAAAAAAACTGTTTACAATTAGCAAAGCAGAATGCTGCATTTTTTTTCTGTTTGACACAGTTGTGTCACAAAAATCCAAAAGTATAAAATAAGTGCAATTAGATCATGCAAATCATTCAGTTAGTCAGAGTGCATTCCACGTGCAAACATTCCCATTTCACTCACTTTTGTAACATTACTGTTCGGTACATTACATGTACTGTAGCTCCATGTGTTGAGGTCCATATTTGTTATGCTTATGTGGTGTTGATGACTACCAGTCCCAGCTCAGGTCACACTCACTGCTACACATTAAAATGTGTAATATAGGCCATCTCTAGCTCCCTCTTGTGTATGCTGAGAGAAATCCCACTTCTCATAATTTACCAAAAACTGCCCATTTGTATAATATAATTCATCTCATTCAGGAAAATACACTTTTGGAGGTTTGCCATAAATAATGCTCTGAGCAATGCACATATGAAAAAGTTTCACAATATCTGCTTTCTCTATGCAGTAAACACCATATAGTTATTTTCAATTACTGAAGTACACCTTTCTGAGGCAGTAGGAAGAACCGCCATATGCAGTCTTAACACTGTCTGGTCATAGGACACTTTTTATGGATATTGTTTTCACTTTGTGTTTACTGGTAAAGCAGTAAGCCATTGGAACCAAATGTCAAGATGTCACTCAGTGTATACTCATTTGGCTTTGAGCCGCAGTTTTGTCAATATGCATCCTAGGAGTGGAAATGGTGCGAGCAGTGGCACCTGTGGCTTTACCTCTTGTTATGTCTTAAACAAATATGTTTTGCAAAGACAAGCCTTTCCATTTTCCCTCTGCTCAGAGCTAAGCCGCCAAGATCTTAATGGATATGAAATGGGTTCTATTTAAACACTGACAGTATGTTACTGTAATTAATTGCACTAATGGCCCCTTTTTCAGTGTTGGTAAATTTGAAGAGTCTCAAAATATAAAGCACACAGTCAAAGAAATTGTGCATGTGTGTGTGTGTAGATTTGTATTTTTGTATAGTTAAACTTTTGTTTTGCTGATGCTGTTGATAATGCCTTAAATTTCTGCTACGTACAATGTGTGAAGGTGAAAATATTGTTCTCTTTTTCAGAATACCCAGATTGTAACCTTAACTGTGTTTTTCTTTGCATTCATTTGCATCAACGGAAGCCAGTGCCCAGATGCCGAGGTTTTACACATTATGCAGTTTGTCATTTCCATACCTGACCTTTTTTTTTTGTTTTGTTTTCAAACAGTTTGGGTTTAGGTGGTGAGTTTGTATGTTGGTGGTAATGTAATTGTGGTGTTACTGTGGGAAAAGTCTGGTATCCTTTTGTCATACTTAGCCACGGTGGTCACTTTAATCTTGATCTATTTATCTAAATTAGACAAATGGCCACAGCTTCAAGTTTTAATAATCTTGGTAGTTTCAGATTTTACATTGTTTTGGCACAAAGTGACTTGGGTTATGTGACCATCAAAAGAACAATAAAAATCCCTAGAATATATGCAAGGAAATACATGTAACATTCAATCCTCAAGAATTATCCAGGTTGTATGAACTTTGTATAGTGCTTTTATTGTCCTGTTGTACCAATATGTATTGATCTTTATGAGAAGCCTTAGAGTTATCGACCCAAAGTGCTCCCTTAGCAAACCCCACACCTTTTTAACAAAGCATTAATATCTCTATTTTGTTGCTTTTTATTTGTACCCTTTGAATAATAGATTTGTACTGTATATTTGTACCTCTGTGAACTGTTAAGGGTGGTTTGTTTTGCTGTTTTAATTCTATGTACTTTAAGGACACAAAGATATTGTATTTTTATTGTTACAGCTAACTTGGAGACATCACATCTATCCTGTTTGTTAAGTAAGCGCAACATAATATATAAATATATATAAATATATACAAATATAAACTACTACACATTACTTAAGTTGTTGTCATTTATTTTATTTCTTTTTTCATTTATTTCTTTGAATTCCAAAATACAGAATACTACTCAGCCTATACTTCTAGATACAATTTTACTTCTTTTTACTTTACTTCCTCCTCAATAACAATTGAGAAATACTTAAGAGTACAATGTTTGTTGCTACTCTACCCACCTCTGGTTACTTTGTTCAGTATACTTAAGTAACCAATGCTTATCAGTGGTAAGAGGGTACAGATTTTATTTTATTTTTTATTTTTTTGCAGTTGGAAATAACCAGGCAGATTAATTTGAATAAAGTCAAAGTTTATTTCCACATTCACCAAGTTTAGTCATGGACAGTACAACTGCAAAAGAAGTCACATGGTGGCTTTCCACCAAGAGATATTGACTTTAGCATAATATTTAACATCAGCTCGTTCATTTGGCCTTGGTCATGGTATTCTGTAAACATGGACATTACCAACTCCTGAATTTTAAAAGGCTAGTGTTGTCACATTGTATATACTGTAAAAAACAGGCAGGCATATAAACAGTTGAACATAGTCATACTGAACATTTGAGGAATGCAGGTTTACATCATGCAGTGCTTACAAAATGTTTATGCCCTGCTTTGAAGAAAAACCCAATGTTCCACCCAGTGCCTTAAGTAAAACCAAAGAGTTTGGAACTCCCCCAAAGTCTTCAACAATAGAACAAAACTTTATAACAAAACAGCATCACAGCAGTCTAAAAGTAAAAACCTTAGAGAATACCCAGTATTCATAGTCAGTATACACAAAGCTGTTGAATGCTGTTCTGGGTACAGTGTAATGTGAAGAAGATGGCAGTGAGACCCTGTCTTTGTACGACAAACAAGAAGGAAACATAACTATCCTTTACGTTCATAGCACACTGAATTGATAAAGTTTTATGGACCAAAATGTAGAAGGCTCTTAATCTTAACTGAGTTAGATGCCTGAGAAGCTCATCTTTTGACACTATTTTATAAATAAACTTGCATACTGCATAGTTTTATGATACTATTGATATATTCTGTATGTTGCATAGAAGTTGATGCATTTAAAAGTTTGATAAAGACATATCTAGAAGTGACTTTTAAATATGTGCTTGGTTGTGCATTTTGTCCTTCACAAAAAAACAATATACTGTTTAAATTCTAGGAAAAGTGAGGTAACATAAGGACAAGCTAAATTATGGCCTTTTAATATGATAAAGACCAACCCACATTAGTCAGAAATCGTGAATATAACAGAATAGCACGTTTTAAATGTCTTAAATAGGTTCTAGGATTAATGAGTAATCTTGTCAACTAATTATGACACCCCTGAAAGTGAAAAACAAACCCCAATTTCCTGTACCAAACTCACACCGCAATTAACCTTCCTGGTTGAATACTACAGGTCTGCATGACATTGGAAAAGCTACAAATATTGTATAAATGTTAATATCATGATTTACTTCCATGTGGGAAAACAGCTAACAAAATTCAAGTATTTTACAAATATACCTGTTAGCAGAAAACAGTGAATTGTGTCCCTATGACCACTTGATTCCAAAGTTATGATGCAAGAACTGAGGTAACGAACGTACTGTTGAGCAACAGCAATAGCAGCACATACTGAGTTTTCAGGGATGCTCCAATGAAAGCTCAGTAAAGACAAATAAAATACAAAACCACTCGAAAATTAGATTACAAAAAATGTAACACCGACAGGTGAAAAGAAACCAAAAATATTTAAACACTGATAATGTGCTTGATAGACCATAAATAAACCTGTGTAAACCTGGATACTATGTGATAAATGTTCTGAATGCCTTTGTGCAAATAAAAGTACTATGGCGACAATAAGCAACCTGTGTCAGTGAGTAATAATTGTACAGTACTGAGAATAGCCTGGCGTTATAAGCCACAGGTATGAGGGTGCACTCATGGTGCAAGCTGAGGTAGGTAGTCTTCCAAGTTGAATTCAAATTGGCATCTTGAAAAGAGGTACAGCCACCACTAACTCAAAACATTGAGCAAACAGAGTTGACCAAAGAGTAACTGGGCCAAAACATCCCCAGTCTCATCACTGATGGCCTATGTGCAAAATCACAAATAAGATATACAGTAGCTGAAAAGTACCTGTTTTCATTAACAGATGAATAGACAAATCTCTTTACAACATGCTATAATACCGTTCAACATGAAACATTGTTAAAGAGTTTTTCAAATGCTGTATAGATGCTTGTTTGTCTTATTATTATTATCAAAGGGTATTTCTCAAAGTGTATTTCTCACGGGAAAACCAACTTCTCATTAAATGTTATCTTCCGCAAGGACAGTCCTCCCTACGCACATTCCTTCCTACATCCACCTTGATGCAAACCACTCAGCAGCTGACACGCACGCACGCACGCACACACACACACACAGTCTTCTTTGTATTACTTTGATAGAAAAATGTAACCGCCCATTTATTCTTGTAACCTGTGTGATTCAATAAATACATGGCGTTGGACGGTGTCTCTTCGGCAGTTTAAGGGAGCTGTAGCAGCGCCACTGTCCCTCGCCGCGAGTAAAAACCCTGAATTCTGCCTTCTGAGTTTTTTTGTGTTAATATCTGTTATTTTCTGACAAACATCCAACCCTGTTCATAAGGTTTGAAATGTAATAAAATAGAAACTTAAGTAATTTGGCTACAGAAGCAGCCCTGAACAGGGCTGAGTCAGGGTAACTTCATGAACAAACCATTATCAATGGATGAGACGGGCATGGGGCAGGGGAACTGGAATAGACTCATGTCTGCCGTGAGGGCTGCCATAGCTGCAGGATCGTGCTCTATCTGTGTTCTTAGAGCTGGGTCAATCTTCTCAAGTCGTCGTTTGATCCTCTTTGCCTCTCGTTCACGTATCAATCTGGCCTGTCTTTTCTCTGGTGTCTCGTTTGCTCTCTTGGCCCTCATGGCCTCCCTGTCCCTCTGCAGTCTTCGTGCACGCTGCTCCTCCGTCTCTTGCATCCTCTGTATGCGCTTGGCCTCACGGTCACGAAGCCTCCTCAGCTCCCTTTCCTCCTCAGTTTCACAGGCCCGTTTGTTCTTCTTAGCTGTCCGTTCCCGCTCTAAACGCTGCAAACGAGCTTCTAGAGGTTCATTCTTCCTCCGTAATGCCCACTTTCTCATTGGTGACTGCGCGTCTACCAACTGCTGATAGGCCACACAGCTGTTGCATACCAGCAGCACTCCTGCTGGATAAACAGGCATGGGACTGAGAATATCAGGGATAGGAGGGAGGCTAGAGGAAGAAGAGTTTAGAGCTTCAGGGATTGATGCCAGTGATGGGCCTTCGGAAAGCAGACTGTCGGGCAGTGAGGGGAAGGGCTGGTCAGAGCCGGCACATGGTCTGGGCCCTTGGCACTGGCTGGAGATGTGGTCTGAACCCTGACACAGATTAGGGTCCTGGTCTGGGGGAGGAAGATGACAGGGAGCTGAACCAGGAGCATGGCAGGACCGTTCCACCGGGCTTGGGCTTACCATGGGACTGCTGGAGAGAGACAGAGAACACACATCCCTACCTCCACTAACCTCCAGCCTGCTTGTGTCAAGAACCTCTTTCAGCTTCTCCCTGTAAAGATAAGATGAGACATTTTGTTGAAACATCTCAGTGAAAAATATTATCACAGAGCTCAAATAATAAGTTCAAATAATATGAACAGTGCTGTATATGACTTCATATAAATCTAAATTGTAAATGATCTTGTCTCTGGTATGTTGTGTTTCTTTTTTTCACCAGTGTCCAGGTTTGTTGATAGTACTGAGACATTTTGTTTGTGTTTTTTCTTTTCAAATACCTAATTTATTGTATTTATCATATCCAATTGTACTGCTCTATAACTTGGTTCATATCAATAATTTATTGTGTTGTTGTTATTCAATATTATTTTCACATGCAGTAAATACATTTGTGCAGGCTGTAAATGTGTAAACCTGTTGAAGTTGTTGGTGTCTGTGAAGCGTGCGCCGCAGACAGCACAGTTGGATAGGCGATCCTCTGAGTGGATGAGAAGATGCCTTCCCAAAGAGCCTGGCGAACTCAAGGCTCGCCCACACACTGGACACACATAACTTTTGTTGTTGCTCATCATGGTTGTATGCTGTTACAGATCACAAAACCAAATAAAAAGGACTTTAAAACATCTCATCACAAAAAACACAGTTACACCTTTTTTGTAACACTGAGTGAAATGTACTCTGCATCTGCATCAGGCTGTAGATATTTTACATTAGACTTATGACTGAATTATTTCTATTTATTTAATACTATTTTATTTGTGTCTGCTGGGGTGCATCTCAGCCAAGTCTTCCTCAAAAAAGATTTAATCTGATCTCAAGGGACTTAAAATAAAAGTAAAATAAAATACTGTAAATAAATGCCACTCATTTCCACAAGCTTGCTTAGCTTTAAGATTTTGTAGGGTGTGTTTAGAGACATCAGCATGCTTACCTGGTAGACATGAGAAATTAGTTTTTCAGGGCTGCCAAAGTCAAGTGAACAGAGGGGACAAGCAAAGGTGCTGTGGTCTCCAGTGTCCAAGCTCTCCTGAGTAACACAAAAGCTGAGTGAGTTGAAGTAAAAAAAATGTAAGCTCAAACTAACAATGAAACTTTATAAATATTTGAATATCTGTGCACACAGTTTGGGCTATCTGACCTCTTTGACTCCCGCTCTTAGCAGGCGGCACTGCGCTCTCTGGGTGCTCATAGGGTCATCAGCTGAGGTGTTGTATAACAAATCTTCCTCGTGGTTGTCTGGGTCACTGTCACTGTCTTCTATGGAGGCAAACACAGCCCTATCAATACAGACACACAAGAGAGCAGAGCAGGGCTTACTCTCACTAACACCCCCACAGACTGGACTATGTCCTGAGGACAGGGTCAGTACCTGAGAGACTGTCTTGGCCCTGGAGCTCCTGGGAGCATTCACTCTCTTCTGGGAAGTCCTCGCGACTGTCCATGCTAATAGTGTGCTGGAGACCCGCCATGCCTGTTGGGTGAAACGGCCCTGGAGTAAAGGACATACAATGACATATAATTAACATTAAAACTAAGATGTGATAGAACCGAACATAAATAGGAGAGGCATTGCAGCGATATTTTTCACATTAAAGAAGATATTGCATGTGCTACTATCTGACAGATTCTTAACCCCACCTATTTCAATCACTTCCAAAACAAACCTCATCACCCTAAGCTCTCTTTGCTCTCCATTCTGTATGAGTAACTCCTATGTAGTTTGTTTCTCTTGTCATTTTCAACAGTGTTTGACAGCCATACTGCAGTCTCAAGGGACAAGTAGAAGCCTGCACTTTTCTCCATGAGCATCCTGCATTCCTCTCTTCTCCTCTCTCTCCTTTGGTACCACCCACACAAACAGACTGGCTTGCCCTTGGTCCTTTCTGCTCAAAAGATCTGGACACTGCCTTATCTCTAGACCATTCAGCTCTAAAGAGAAGGAAGAATGGCTGACTGCCAACACTTGACTGTGAGTGCAAAAAATAAAAATACCCAATTTATTATTTGTGGATAAAAAATTAAAGCAGGAGACAAATAATGTGTTCAATACTGTTCAATACTGTTCAGGTGATGAAAATCATAAAATAATACCATTAAACAGAACTTAGTATTAAGTAGCTCCAATATTATTGTTGACTTTCTAGGCAGATTGTGGTAGAGCTTCCTCCACTGTGGTACAAGTAGTGCACACTCCTGTAGATAATGTTATCTGTCACTAAATTAAGTGTGTGTAAAGTTTGAGAATGAGTAGTTCATTTCTCATCCTCTCATTCAAACTGGTGGTACAATAATTAAACTATGAACTGCCCCACCAGAGCTTCACAGCACACAGCCAATGACGGATGTGTGGCTCCCCATCCCCCTCTAGTGTCTGTCCATACATCTGCCTCTCCTTGCTCCTCCCAGGCTCTGTGATGTTATCTGTCTATGGTCTATGTGAGAGTCTGTAGGCAGGAGGTGACGCAGTGTCTGACTGGATCCAGACAAAGAGACAAACTCATCAGCCACAAGAAGGAGAGGGGAGGGCACTAGTATGGAAGGGGGGAGAGAGGCAAAACAAAACACACAAAAGACAGACGGCACAAACTCGACTCCCTCCTCCTGCTTACAGCCACCATCCTGTTCAAGAGCGCGTGCGCACACACACGCACGCACACACACGCGCGCGCACACACGCGCGCGCGCGCGCGCGCGCGCACCCCACACCCACACCCACCCACCCACCCACACCCACCCACCCACACACCCACCCAACACCCACCACCCACCCACACCCACACCCACCACACACACACCACACACACACACACACACACACACACACACACACACACACACACACACACACACACACACACACACACACACACACACACACACACACACACACACACACACACACACACACACACACACACACACACACACACACACACAGGCTAGATATCAGATCAATCTCACACTGATCAACTAGGCATGCAAAATGATCCTGGGAGGTTGTATTTTTTTCTGGTCTTGGGAAGTTATTGTTTGTGGCAGAACTTGACTGATGAGGAAAGATTACCGTTTAAAAGGTGTGTTTAGGTGAAGGTCCAGAAGTGCACTATACTTACTATTGCACTCCTCTTAATTGTTATGAAATAAATAGTAAGAAGAGTAAGAAAGACATCATTCTAAGTCAAAACTTAAGATCAGACTGCTACTATAACAAAATAAACATTAAAAAAATTACAATTCAGTGATGGTCAAGGGATACTATGTAGGGAGGAAATTTGTATTCATTTTTTTTGCAAACATATGTATATATGCATATATTTACACATGCATATAGTTGAGGTGATATATTCACAGTGTTTCCCATTAATACTGGAGACTATGGTGCCCCCACTCTTATAGTCTATAAATAGCCTGGACTAAATATTGGCATAACAAAATTAGACTTTGTTACTCATTGTATTATTATAAACATATAAAAGAGACTACACTGGTTAAAAATGAAAGGTGCAGTGGTTCTGTCAAAGCTGAGTGAAATGCAACCTTTTACACACTTGTACACTTACAAATGTCTGTCTTCAGTTTATTTTTCCCTCATTTAGAGTGAGCTGCATTAAAATAAGCATTAAGCTTATAGCCTACATTAATTGTTTGTTTGAATGAGGGTGAGGTAAGAACTAGAAGAGTATGTCTCTGACAGCAGACAAAGTCCAGGCCGCACACCCATAACACGTCCACAAAGTGCTGTATATAGGATTTATGTTGATGCCTAATTCAGTTTGTACATATGATTACTTCTATTGTTAACATAAACCTGAGAAGGAGGTACTACTATAATAGTTGATTTGACAAGTAGCTTTGCTCAAGGTTTTGCAGGGTGAGTGCACATATTCTGAACAGAACTGAATTAATTGTACTTTCAACTAAAATATTTTTATAATTTGATAGAGCAATAACTGAAATCAGTATTATACATTTGAAAAGTTGCACAGGCCTACCTAATAAAAAAAAAGTTTAAAATCAATCTGTTCCATTGTACCTTATGTCTGAGTTTATGTTGAAGTAAAGTGTGCACACAAATTAGGCTGGAGCTGTTGTGGCATTGTCTGGAATTCTTTGTGAGTTTTTGTGAAAGTGTCAAGCCTGTCTGGACTGTCCTGCTGTCTGTCTGGTTTGACCCCATCTGAAGGAGCAGAATGGGATAGAACAAGAACAAGATGACAAAACATACCTTAATTCCAGAAACAGACCTAGACCAACAAAAATCTAAAGGTTTTAGCCATAAAATACAAACAACAGTGACTACCAACAGTACAGATTTTACTTAATATACTTTTAGCAACTGGTGTATTGCAGAGGGATAAATGAACTCATTAGCCTGGTGGGATTACTGCATGTGTAACACCAAGATGTATTACACTGAAACTATGTTTAGAAGACAGAGCTCAAGCAAACATGACCAATCCCTTATGGACTGGTCAGCAACCTCAGGACCAACAAGTGCTTCTTACAATGGAGGCAAGTCAGAGTTTCCAAGCTCATCCTAAGTGTAACAGATACAAAGACTAGATTGACAAACTACATGGAGAACTACAAAACTACAAATCAGGGACAAAATACCTTAAATGCAACTTCAGACAAGAGACGTAAATTAATCTGTAAACCCAACAATGCGCAAACACAGAGCCCTAAGACTTGCATGTAAAATAAAAAAAGAAAACCACAACATCTACAGGCAAAAGGTACAATTTTGCAAATAGACTATAGCCTATAAAGAATTTCAATCAGCTATAGTAATTGAAAATGCAGCATTAATAGCCTAATACTACTCGACATGTAAAACAAAACAAAAAGGCTACCCACAGTTAACTTTGAAGGGGTTGGTTTGTTTTCGTCTGGACATAGTACGGTCCACTCCCGCTGTAAGTGAAAGGTCCCACAAATCCGCGGGGTTGTCCAGATCGCATTCCAGGTGTATTCCGCACTGAGAGACCACTCTCGCTGCGCGGAGCACAATGAGGCGGCACACCATCAAAAATACAGCCCGGTCAGCCCAGACCCGCCTGGGACTCAAATCAAAAAGGAAATTATGCACATGCGTTCACATGTTTGCTCCGCTGGACATTTCTCGTTTCAGTCGTTTCGACTGTGGCGTGACACCCGTGGAGTGAAAGCTTCACTGTGCCAATGGCTTTACCCTGCGCGCGCATTGCAGCGACGCACGAGCTCTAGCGAACTGTAAGAAACGTGCATTCTGTGGTAGGACAGAAAATATCCACTTGTTTATATAAAGTGTAAATTGCCCATGCATGTAATATTCCCGGATGAATTAGTAATTGGTCAAATCTTATCACCAAAACGTATGCTAATAAATCTACTGCAAAATGTAAACTAGTGCTCTCTACTGGGCAAGTTTTACACTATTATTACTATTATAATATAATGCTATTAGCATACAATGAATGTGACGTAGTATTGTGGACAAGCAAACGGGGTTGCCAGTTTCAGTGCTTAGATAAAATCATATTTCTGATCTGAATCCTCACTACCCAGGTCAAGAATAAGCTGCCTGAAGGTGCATGTGGGTTTGAAAAGGGTGCTATGACAACAGTCTTCCATTAAGAGTCTTTTTATTAGGTTGCAAAACACCCATTTTCACCCCTGTACTCCAGGCCTATAGCAACCACAGCAAATCATTAATCAGAACTAGTGGAGCCTCTGCATCTCAATGAGTGAATTCTGGAGGTTCTGAGCTTCACATGAGGCATAGCCTGTGCACACTGAGAATGAGGAAAAACTCGTGTCTCCTGCAGGCTAAAGCATTGACTTGGCAACCCAGGTTCAGTTGTGATCATAATTCCTTTTTTAAAACAGTAAGAGCACAGGCTAGATACATACATAACTTATAAGATACTAACTTAAATCAACTCTTTCAATAAAGGTTGTTTTATTTTCCTGGGCAGTGGGTCACAAAGTTACTAGAATCAGAATTAAAATCAGAAAAAAAATTATTTGAACTACAAAATTTTGTGAACAAATTCACTACATGTGCTTTGGCGATATGGTGCAACTGCATCATCGATCAATGAATACCTCACCTCTTACCCCACCCCACCCCCGTGGTACAGGTGACTCTCCAGGACTCATGGGGCAGTAGGTCAGATCTGGATACAGACAACTTGAGTCACTCCCCTCAGGCTGAAGGCTAGACCTACAGGCTAGGCTTAGAACAGCATCTTCTCCTCTGCTGTTGGACTTATAAACATAGATAGACAATAAACAATTATTTGTAGGACTGCTGATATCACTCACGTCATTCTTTGTGTATATATATATGTATATATATATATATATATATATTATATATATATATATATATATATATATATATATATATATATATATATATATATATATATATATATATATATATATATATATATATATGTTGTATTTAGAGCATGTATATTATTTAAAAATATATCTGATCAGTTTTGTATTAATTTTCGAGTAAATTGGCCCTAGTCGCCTCTAGGTGACGCCCTCTAACTCAAAAGCATTATAAGGGATTCGTCATCACTGGCTGCCACGAGTAAACGGACCGTGCTACGACTTTGACCAGGTAAAACGTATCCCTCCGCAAGATCGGAATACAATATTCCATCTTCTCATTGTTATGTTTACAGTTACAATTGTCAATGCCATGACAAGCTGTTCACGGGTAATATGCTTGATTGGTTTTCTACGCCTTTTTGAAAGGTAAACATGGCGAATTTACTGAAACGCCGCCAATCAAACCTGCAAACACTATGCATTTACATCGATAGCTAATATTATAAGTCCTCTCCCTTGACTGTATATAAGAAAGAGGGAGGGGGGCACTCTCGTTAGCCTTTTAGACTATGCGTATCGCTATGTAAAGCCCAGGTTGATTAGCCTGGCAACACAATCCGCTAACATTCACAAAACACTAAACAAGAATGTTTCCGGATCTTACCCATGTTGCTCAATGGGGACTAAAATCAAGTCTTGTCCACGGCAGAGGCAGCGTTATGCCCAGTGAAATGTTCCTGTAGAGGCTGGGTTGGCTGGATCACATCGATGACAAACTTCAGCTCTGCAGCGACTCCGCACTTCTTTCACGAACCTCTGAGATCTGTCAGTGTAACCTTCCGCCTGCGGTAGATGTGCTGAGGCTGGAGTAGCCACCATTTTGCATGTCTAGTGTGTTCCTCCTTCCATTGCTAATAGAGACGATTTCTGGTATTATCTGGCATCATTCCGGCTTGTAAGTAAGTCTTGGTTGTTATCATTTTGTCGGACACACTCCTTAGTATAAATAACTTTTGATAGAAGTCTGTATTTGGTGCACATTTACGCTGACAACACTGGCTGGGGCGCTGCTTAGGAAGTCGCAGTTCAGAGTGGACCGGGGTTGTGCCTGACAGCGGCTAACTTAGCTTAGCTTAGCATGAGCGCTACTGCTGTAAGTCTTGCGGCTAAGTACCTGCTGTGCTAGGGATGTGAAGCCTAGTACAGTCAATCATTATGTCCATATCCTTAACTGCTATGACAACATTTACTCAAAAATATAGATATGATGGAATTACACTTTGTCGTTACATTTGATTTTATTAGGGTGATAAATCTGTGTTTACATAACTCAAATCGTTGCATTCAGGTTGGCTAAGGTCTCCGTTGAAACGCTAGCTTGTAATCCCAGTGCTTAAAGGAGGCCGAAACTGCATCATGAACAGGTTTAGATGTCATGTCCATTTCGCTAAGTTTTTTTTTGGTTAATTTCGACAATACATGTAGAGCAATGATGACTAGCTAGGTTTATAGATAAGTAATTATAGGGCACGTCGCATGTAACAACTGCTATTACATTAGCTTGTACTCTTCATTATTTTTATACCAACAAATGTATCTCTTTGGCTGTCTTGAACATGTTATGTTTATCCTTAGCACGAAAGTAGGGTCACCTGTGTAGTTCGCAGGATATGTAACAGGTAAAAAACTCTTCTAACCAGGTGTATGCTGACATTTGTGCACCCGTACGTCAGCATTTGGACACCTCAAAGCTAACTAAGGCTAGCTTGGAGTGTGGACGTGGACTCGTTTTTATAAATCCAATTCCAACTTGCTATTATTAAAATAATTATGGAATTATTATCTATATTCTATTTATTTTAAAACACGCTCTAAACCAACTCTGGTCTTTTAATGCCATTATAAGAAAGTGACGGTGTAACAGGTGGAAGGAGTCAGCTGATATTTGGAAGTGAGACAATCATTGACCCTTGTAAGAGTAATCCATTTACAACTATATACGTTTTTGTTGGTTTGCAATCATTTGGTTTCCAGCTTGCACACATTGTAGATATGAGGAAAAGTTTGCACTTGTGCCATTGTCTCCTGAGTTCTTCAATAATTTCCCTGCCTCTAATGAATGAATGAAATGAACTAAGGACCAAGCCTTGAAGAGGTTAGGTTTCTGAATAACTTATGAATAACACACTGGCTCATTTTGTATACTCACCGCCATATTGGGACAAATGTATGTGGGAAACAGACATATTCAGAAAATGAATATTTGACCTTCAGATATTATATTTGTCTCTCAGAGCATGGTTTAGTGAAGGTGACCAACTGGCATCAAGAACACATTTAACTGCCTTAAGTCTGAATTAGCATGATTTTGAAGTCCCAACATTAAAATGTATTTGTGGACTATTTCATTGTCCTTTCAGTGTGAAATGTATTTGGTTGCTTTCTCTCTGTGGTATAAAGAAGGTGTGGCTTGTTGATGGTTGTCAAGCATCCTTAAGCAAATGTAGGCTGGCTGCACAAACCTCAAGGGAGGCAAAGCTTGTCATGAGTAAAGTATGTGCCCATAAGTGAATGTAAAGTAAGTAATAATGAATAAGTTCATTATTGTCATTTACTACAAATAATTTCCTCATATAGGTTATTGTAATTTCCTCTTAATAATATGATATTTCAGTTTGGGAAATGCTATGGATGCACCAATCCGATACTGGTATCAGATGTCGACACTGATGCTGAGAAATTTATTGGACTGGATATTGGCTTCCAAATATCGGCTCAGTCAATATACAGTTTGGACATATAAAGGACATATTAATGCTATTTATCGGTCATAGTCAGCATAAACAGTCTTATAATGTTTGAACTTTTATTTATACATAGCTGCTCTGTAGTGACTTGAGAGATAAATAACAGCTAAATGACAGTCTGAATCAGTTTGTCTTATTTTCTTTTAGTTTTAAGGAAATAAATCAGTCTTTGCACTGGTATTGATTGATATCTGGTATTGGCAGATACTTAAAGCTATAGTATTGCAATCGGTATTGCAACTGAAAAAGCTGGATCGGTGCATCTCCAGGAAATTTTAAATTTTCTTTTTGTATACAGTATAGACCTCATGCAATAACAGCATTGCATTTCATCAAGAGAAATCTATGTTCTATGTAAAATTATATATATTTTCTTAAAAGAGTATGTTACTTTAGTAATGTGATAGAATTTATTATCTCAGTCATGTTTCAGCCATGTTGATGTTTGTAATGCTATGTTATTTAAAAGAATTGTCTTCTGAGAAAGTGAGATGTATTTACCTGTATATTTGATTACTGTCAGTATTAGATTATTGGATGTAACAAGCACAAGTCACAAAATCATTATTGAAGAGGCTACCTTGTTTTTGTGGTAATATATTTATTAACTGATAGGGAGGCCATGGTGTGCTTTACATCATCTCAAATCTAGGATCAATTACACCTTACTTCTTAAAACATCAAAATACACCCTCAATCACCCTGACAGAGTGCCTGTTTTAATTCTTTTTTTGTTTGTTTGTTTGTTTCATCTAATTTGAAAAGGGTATTGAGTTTTGGCTATAAAAATAGACGTGGTGCATTGTTAGATGAAGTTTTTAAAGATAAAATGGACCCTGATACAATTTTTTATTTTATTTTTTTACCCCTTTTCTCATTGTAAAAAATGTAACTGTACATGTTTTACTTCATGTAAGTTCTGACTATGAAATCTTAATTGATCTTTCATGTATGGCAAATCAAACCTTTGCAAAGTTTTGTAACACTATGTGTTAGACTGATAATTCCTGAGCACAGCAAGTAAATGAAATCATTTCATTAACTGTAAATGGTCACATTTACAACTTCTATAGATGTAAGTGCTTTACATCAAGAATCATGCACACATATGCATTAATAACACTAATGTTTGTGCACTGTGCAGACACTAACATAATTTTTGTCCTTTAGTCTTTAAACATCCCTCTAGTTTTAAATTGGACAGAAATAGATTTAATGGATCACCTTGCTTTGGTTGATAATGATGTTTACTGAAATGAATCAGTTATAGGCATTTCTCCTCCCCACTTTTTTTTCAGTCTTGAAGGCTTGAGTTTGTATTAGACATTTACTGACTGTTTTATGTTTTCAGAGAATGCCAGCTCCGATCAGACTGCGGGAGCTGATCCGGACTATCCGGACAGCACGAACCCAAGCAGAGGAGCGAGAGATGATCCAGAAAGAGTGTGCTGCTATCCGCTCATCTTTCAGAGAGGAAGATAATACCTATCGTTGCAGAAATGTGGCAAAGCTACTGTATATGCACATGTTGGGCTACCCAGCCCATTTTGGTCAAGTATGTGTGTCCATATGCACAAATAAACAGTTCATGTTTTACCCTTTGTAAACTGCTTTCCTTTGTTTCAGCTGGAGTGCCTGAAGCTTATTGCATCCCAGAAGTTCACAGACAAACGAATAGGTTATTTAGGTGCTATGCTGCTGTTGGATGAGAGGCAGGATGTTCATCTACTAATGACGAATTGCATTAAAAAGTGGGTGCATCTAAACACTTAAAGATGAAATCTCACGCTGCCTGCTCCTCATGGTGCTCTGTTCTCTGCTCTCCTCAGTGACCTAAACCACAGTACACAGTATGTCCAGGGTCTGGCCTTGTGCACTTTGGGTTGCATGGGTTCATCGGAGATGTGTCGGGACTTGGCTGGTGAAGTGGAGAAGCTGCTAAAAACGTCCAACTCGTACTTGAGAAAAAAGGTATGATTCATTTCAATCATACTACGCGACTACACAAACTCACCGAACATGATTTTGGCTGACTTTTGTTTGTGAAATATATTTGCAGGCGGCCTTGTGTGCGGTTCATGTTATAAGAAAAGTTCCAGAACTTATGGAAATGTTCCTTCCAGCCACAAAAAACCTGCTCAGCGAGAAGAACCATGGTAGGTGCAAATGTTTTGATAGGAGATACCCTCTGGCTGAAAAAAATATTTCCATTATTTTTGTTACCACTCAAAACAGCCGGTTAGCCCCTGAAAACATGTTGTTGTTTTTCTTCACAAAATAGTAAATGTGTCTGCCTGATCAACCACACATGTTTTGTCTAAATGTGGAACTGCTATTAATTGGTAATTTCCCATTTGTACATAAGTTAAAGTAAACTTAACTAAATCAGAGACATTAAGCTCATAAAAAGATGAGATGTTGTGCACCAGATAATAGCTCAATAGCTAGTTTCCACCTGCACCTGGAGTTTAATTGACACAAGTTTTGGTAATCCTGCATGCTCAGACACACTTCTCTACATCAGGGAGTGCTCTGTTGTTTTTTTTTTAAAGTCCACGCTTTCAATAGGTTTGTTTCTTTTGGTGCTAAAATTATCTTTGCTATGTCTTACTTAGAACCAGGAGCTGCATATTGTTACAAGGAGCTTGAAGCGGCCATGTCATAGTTAATTTTATTCACAGCTTTTATTGAAAAGTAAAGGTTTAATCTTTAACTGAAAGAACAATGTCCACAGATATTGTGCTCAAGAAACTGACATTTTCTGAACCACGTTATAGCTACAAAAATATTTTTCATCTCCAGTCCCTGATTTTAATTAGTATTTTTTAATCTTTATTCTGTTTAGGTGTTCTCCATACATCAGTTGTTCTCCTCACTGAGATGTGTGAGAGAAGCCCAGATATGCTGGCCCACTTCAGAAAGGTACAGTGCAAAAAAACAGTGCTTTTGTCTTAAGCTCACACATGACATCTCATTTCCCTTTGCACATTTGACATTATCTTATCGCTAAGTAAACACACAGCTCTAAACGCTGCACCATGTTTCAATCTTGAACTCTGTCTACTTTGTGTGTACTGCTTTGGCTGTTCTGCTGCTGCCTTCTCTTCTGTAGGTGTAACAGCGCTCAGGAGTGCCACCCTCATGGTCATGAGCTCAACATATTTTAGCTTTCTGAAAGTGAATGACTTCCCCTCCCTAACATCTCCCTCATATTTTTTCTGTCATTTGTCTTTGTTACAATTCCTGCATTGTGTTAGAATGAGAAGGTAAGAGTACATTCTGATCTCATAGCTGGTGCATGCTGTAATTAGTAATCCTCACAGTCACCTCAAATGTAAATCTTTTATTTTGTCATAATGTTTTCCTTAATTTTATAAATCTTAAGTGATCACCACTCATCACTGTCAGTGTACTAAGTCAAATATCCCAAACTGGATTTTGTGCGACATTTTCGTCACAGTTGTTTTGTGTTTTTATTTTTCTGATTCAAGCTCATTAAGTCACTATGGTGTTAGTTTAATAATAAGCCTATATCGCTCAACAACACAGTCAACACTATATGGGCATTTGGGCAGTATACAGGGGTAGGGATTTGTCTAAACATGATAACGTTGTTTGTGTCTGTCTGTCCATCCTACAACCCCCACCCCCCTCCCCCCGCAAAAGATTTAGCATTTATGGACTTTTCCCATTTTGTGTGTATTTTACTGTACGCCCTTTTGTTTAATTTGGTTTGAATTACATACTTAAAATGTAAAAATCTATAGGGCCTCTGTAGGTAGACTAAACCTATGTGTGCAGTATATGATATTCTAATGTTTGTGGGGGTCACAGTGTGTCACAATACATCCTTAAAAGTTATCAGTGCAGCTTTAATATTGATGTAAAACTTCTGACAGCTGCTTATTCTTCTCTTGATAATATTTTGATCAGCTGGTTCCACAGTTGGTGAGGATCCTGAAGAACCTAATCATGTCCGGGTACTCTCCTGAGCATGATGTGTCAGGCATTAGCGACCCTTTCCTTCAGGTAACACTTAGCATAAAGAGCTCCTCATCAAAAACATATCTGTAGTTATTTTGTTTCATTCACACATGTTTAATGCAAAAACCCTGCATATATAGGCTGAGTTCTCTTAAACCAGTAACACTCTGTTCCACCTTATGATGTTGTGGAAATACAGGAAGTGTTGTTAAACTCCATACACAGTCGCAAAGAATCATTTGGATAATTTCAGACCTGGAAATGCCCATCATTACTTAAAGTACTATGTAAAATGTAACTGTTAACTTGAAAACTACCACTACATGACATCACAAGCTGGAACAAAGCATTTTGAATTTTGGAGATCTAAACAGGCTAATAAAGCAGAATTACTCAGATATGTGTGAATGAAACAAAACACAACTCCAGGTATGTTTTTGACAAGGTAACAGCATTCTAAGACAACTTAAAACTCACAATAGTCAATTTGGCATAAAATATGACCTTTAAGTATTCAGATGTGTCTTAATCTGAACAGGTGCGGATATTAAGACTTCTACGAATTCTGGGTAAAAGTGATGACGACTCTAGTGAAGCAATGAATGACATTCTTGCACAGGTAAGTTTTCAAGAATACAATCACCAGGTTAACCATGTGCTTGTATAACAAACAGTGTGTTTGCTCTACAGGTTGCAACAAATACAGAGACAAGTAAAAATGTTGGCAATGCAATCTTGTATGAGACCGTATTGACCATAATGGACATAAAGTCTGAAAGTGGACTACGAGTGAGTCTATTTTTATTTTTACAAAACATTAAAGCAATCAGTGTAATATCTGCTATAACTGGTAAATAATTTATCTGATTTACAGGTCTTGGCCATTAACATTTTAGGTCGCTTCCTTTTAAACAATGACAAAAATATCAGGTAGGCATTTGTATTTGATATTTCATGACTTCATTTTTGCCTGAATGTTAAAAATGTTATAAAAACTAAACAAATGTTTTTCAGATATGTGGCATTGACATCTCTACTGAAGACTGTACAGACAGACCATAATGCAGTGCAGAGGCATAGGAGCACTATTGTGGATTGTCTGAAAGACCTGGATGTTTCAATTAAGAGGTAAATTACCAGTTATTTACACTGAAATTGACATATTTGTTTTCATGGTTCTATGATTTCTGTAGACGCGCAATGGAACTAAGCTTTGCTCTAGTGAATGGCAACAACATCCGAGGAATGATGAAGGAGCTGCTGTACTTTCTGGATTCCTGTGACCCCGAATTTAAAGCCGACTGTGCATCAGGAGTCTTTCTAGCTGCAGAAAAGTATGAAGACCAGTGCTTTAACAAACTTTAAAAAATATTGTTATTTGTTCATGCTGCCTTCATTTGCAATGGGAGTTATGCAAAAGATGACTTGTTGAGTTGAAAAGTACCCATGAATGTTCTATCACATTTTAATTTCCAGTGAAGAACTATCAGATGATTTTGATACATATGAAAAAATATGATGTGAAATAATGGAAATAATGTTCAAGTCATGTTTTATATCGGCTTATTGACTTAAATCCTACATAATAATACAGCATTCTGTATTCTGCATTAACACTGTAAATGCAAATGCATATCTATTTTTATGTACTAATTTACAGCCAGCATGTATATTTTCCAGATGAAGTGACTGTCTGTTACCACAAATACAAAAGCACTTTAACAAAACGCACACAAATGAAGTGAAAGATATCTCTTCCATAGCATGTGAAGGCAGTATTATTAAACAGTCTAATACAGTTTAAATCATATAATCGAATCAGTTAGATTAGAAAAATGTTGCTTACAAATGCTGTATGATGAAAAAAAAAGAGTGATCCATCATCTGAGGCTCAGTGCTGACATTTAAATTGTCTGACAGCATTTTTTTTTACATGAACATGTATATTGTATACTAATATAATATTAATATTATTTTTATCTAAGTTTTATGTTTGCCTTTTTGTTACAGATACGCGCCATCCAAACGATGGCACATAGACACAATTATGAGGGTCCTGACCACAGTAAGTGCTCCGTAGTAGTTAAACATCTGTCAACTTTTCATGGCTTTACATTTAACTTTCTGGCTTCAGGCAGGGAGCTACGTCCGAGATGACTCTGTTCCCAATCTCATCCAGCTGATTACTAACAGTGTGGAGATGCACGCCTACACAGTCCAGAGACTCTATAAGGCACTGCTGGATGACATTTCACAGGTAAGAATTTTTTCTATGTTTTCATAATGAATTACATTGTCTCATATGTTTAAGGACATTATTTTGTGTTCTTCAGCAACCTTTAGTGCAGGTGGCGTCATGGTGCATAGGTGAATATGGGGACCTGCTTGTATCTGGACAATGTGAAGAAGAGGAGCCAATCCAGGTATTTTATTCGGAAATATCCTTAGTTGAGATTTTCTAACTGGAAGATTGGAAGTTCATATTGAGTTTAAGATGAACTTGGAAAGAGTTGGCTTGTCGGTTCAAAGATGAGGTGAGAGGGCAAAGGGTCTACTCTGCTCTTCAACAAGTCCATATTGCATTATACTGTCCACAGCCTCTCACCTTGACTAATTCAACTGTGCTTGTGTTGTTTGAATTAAGGTGACAGAGGATGAAGTTCTGGACGTGCTGGAAGGACTTCTAGTGTCTAATTTGTCAACTCCTGTAACTCGGGGCTACGCTCTTACTGCCATCATGAAGCTGTCTACACGCTTCAGCAGTGTTAAGTAAGTTACTCTTTCATATTATTTTTAAATAAACAATGCCTTTTACTCAACTCTTTAGCATGTTTTTCAGCCGAATCAAAAAGGTTGTTTCAATATATGGAAGCAGCATTGATGTGGAACTGCAGCAAAGAGCAGTGGAATATAATGCACTTTTCAAAAAATATGACCATATGAGGTAATACCTTTTGCAGGATTTATTCAGCACAGCAATTCACTGTGAATTATGTGTCTTATTTTCATATTGACTTAAATATCTGTCTCTTTAAGGCCGGCTTTATTAGAACGGATGCCCATTATGGAGAAGACCTCCACAAATGGCCCAACAGACATAGTCCAGACCAATGGAGAGACTGAGTCCTCTGTTGTAGAGTCTAAACATCCACCCCCAGTCACCCAGCCAGCCAACCAGGTATGTTACAGAAGTTTAAAGAGTATGTTTATTTACTAAAAGTATAACAAAAACATGGCGCTTTTTCCTTTTAAGGCCAATGATTTATTAGATTTGCTCGGTGGTAATGATGTCCCAATAATTCAGACAACACTACCCACAAAACCAGCTTCAGCAGGTGGAGAGCTTCTTGATCTGCTCGGTGATCTCTCACTAAGCGGTAAATTCCTGGATTTTACCACTTCTCGATAAAATTTACCTCTGCCCTAAACCTTGTTGTTTACCTTTGTTTAGGTAATTCAGCGCCTCCTGCTCCCACTGTCCCGGTTTCCCAGCCCCCTTTCCTTTTAGACGGCCTTTCCTCACCGCCCCTTTTTAACGATATTGCAGCAGCAGGTGAGGGTCCTTTTAGTTATTTGTTTAGTGGGAAAAGTGTTTGATAGAATAGAATTGAATAGAAAGCCTTTATTGTCATTATACAATAGTATAATGAAATTCAGATGATAAACTCATCATGATTTTATTTTTGTATTTGCAAAGGTATCCCACCCATGACGGCATATAACAAGAATGGTTTGAAGATAGACTTCACATTTGAGAGAGCTAACCCTAATCCAAACATCGCAGTCATCACCATTCATGCTTCCAACTCAACAGAGGCAGAAATGACAGATTTTGTTTTTCAAGCTGCAGTACCAAAGGTAAACAAGCAGTCACATATACCTGCTTTTTCTTTATTTGGCCCATTTTAACTAATAGATGTGCTCTGACTGCCTGCCAGACGTTCCAGCTGCAGCTCCTATCACCCAGTAGTAATGTTGTCCCAGCACTAAACCAAGGAACGGTAACACAGGTCATCAGAGTTCTCAATCCACAGAAGGTGGGTGTAATGTCTTGAGTTTTCAGGTTCATTTACAACTGTTTGTGTTCCTCTTGCTAAACCTGATTATTATGATCACATTTCAGCAACACCTACGAATGAGGATCAAGTTAACCTACACCCATAAAGGCTCACCTGTGCAAGACCTGGCTGAGGTGAACAACTTCCCACCTCAGTCATGGCAGTGATTATTGCCTGTGTGGCTCCTAAAAGCCCCGTTAAGGGAACTTTGAAAACTATTTTCTTTTCACTTCCCTCCTTCTTCCAACGGATCCCCCTGTGACACACACAGACAGCTGCCCTCAAGTTGCATGGGAAGCAGCAAAGAATCTCAACACAGGAGAAAAATGTTGATGTTATGAAGATCTTTTAGAGAACAATTCGGAAAACATATCAATCAATGTACTACTCTTGTGTGTGTGTGTGTGTTTTGTTTTTTTTTTGTCATGTATTTCATAATTTAACTTCATAGATCATATTTGCGCCACTTAGTTTTCAAGAGAAATAATCCAATATTATAAATTTAGTCAAATGTATGCTTGATTAAATTAAATTATCGACACAGTTAGTTAAATGTTTCTGTTTGCAATCAGAGCTTGACCTGAAGGCACATGTCTCTGTGGAGGTCAAACTCCCACATGTTACAAATTTCAGGTTTAAGCCTTTTAGTAATTTGTGATTATATTAATTTTATATTATGAATAGGTGACAAAAAATAACAACTTTTGTCACATGATGGTTACAAATGGAATTCATCTGGTTGTTCTTTTTATCTTCAGGGGTCTATAATAAATTAAAATATGTGAACTTTCTGCATCAAACCTATCCAAACCTGGGTCCTTACATTCTAGCTTACAGTTTAGATCTTGCATATAGATTGCTAATAGTCCAACTTTCTTTAACTTGGTCACCATGCACATACATGGTAGTTTTGAATGTAGTTACCATGCACTGAATGCTTTTCTTCTGTTTCTTCTATTAATCTTTTTCATAACTGTCTCCTCTCTTGGGGGCCCTCACCCTTTTGGCACTACTATGATTTATGTTTGTCTTTAGTCGATTGACTTAATTATTTATGCCTGATATCAAAGTGATGTGCCTTTCTGACTTGGGTGGAAACTCTTGAGTTCTTTTCAGAGCTTTGTTTGTATGTCTTCTTAAATGCTGTTGGAATCTGAGGTCGTTGTGCAGCTTCAAATGTGATCATACTTTTTTTCCTTTTTTTTTTTTTTTTTTGGGTGATGCGCTAACGACTGTCATATGAAATTTTCTGGAGGCCAAAAAATATTGTTCATTAGTCCCAATTTATGTTCTTCACATATTCTAAAACCTGGAGAATTCAAACTGTCAAACGAAATCTTGATTTCTGGCAGCTAAAGTAATAATCAGTAGTGAGATGCCTACTGGTACTGTGGTACTGGGTGTGGTGATAGTGCATTACAAAGAGACTTCAAATTCTAATCGTATCTATGCTGTCCGGGACAGTATTCTTAGTACCTCTCAATGTTCTTGTGTTTTGGCATTGGAATGAGCTTTGAAAATGAAATGGAAGCATTTGCATGAAAGGGTGAGTGATATTGTACCCATCACTTATCAGCACCATAATGGTGAGTGGGAATCAACAGATGTTTAATTGTGAGGTAGTTTTCACTATGCTTCACTGTCTAACTTAACTTGTGACCAAATTGGTAAGACTTTTAGCTTTGGACATATTTGAGCTGTTTATGTATATGGAGAAAATTAACATTATGTTGCTGAAAAATACTTTGGCGTGTTATGTACATACGGAGAGCTTTTACAGTGATCTCTTGTATGATCTAAATTTTGGTCTCTTGTACTATCTTTCATCATTTTTTTTAGATCATTTTTAACTTTTCATTTTCTAAATAATCCAATTATTCACCTTGTATATTACTAATTACATCTAGTCAGCACTGGTCTCCAAAGACCTCTGTGTATCATCACTTACTTATTGTAAAATATATGATCTGCCTGTATATTGTATATAGTTACAAACAAAAGCTGATCAAATTAATAAAACACAAAAGATTTAGACAAGAAATTTAATTGTATGCATATATGTACAAAATTTAATGAAAAGATGCAATTGAGCTGCATTAGATCTACTATTCTCTCCATACTTCATTCATGACTGGAGGAGTCCTTAATTTCTTTCACAGAGATGGTTGTTGTGTCAGTCGGCTGGGAGTGGAGCTTTTGGGTGTTTATGGATCAGTGGATGTGTTCTGTACTACTGAAAAGCAGGGATGCACACATAGATGTGGCACTTGATGTCAGTCCTGTTTTCCTGGCATGTGTTTTGTCATCTTTTAAGAATACATTTTGTTTGGCATATATAATATATCCATACTTAATAGTATGCCAAGTTGCACCTTAATATTTACAAATCTTCTGTGTTGGATATTGATGAGTTGCAGCTGAGGCCTTTATGGCATGCGATTTTAAGTTTTCTTAAAAACATAGTTTTCGCATGTCAATACTTAAGTTGATAGTTTGCTCTTTTTTGATCTGTGAGATGATATTATAAATCAAGTCTTTTGTTTGCCTGTCAGAATATTAGGGGTGTGTACTAGAGTTTCATTCAATTCATGTGAAGAGCTTTATTTTGCTGCAATGTTGCTTCACCAGCATCAATCCCAGGGGGAAGCCTGTGCTACCAGATCAAAACCACAAGGAGGAGCTGTGCAAAAATCCTCACAGGACAGAGAGAGATTCATAGTCTTCGTTTTTATTATCTGAATGTTTTTGTTGGTGTTGTTTTATTGTCTTATTCATCCAGTGTATTTGTTTGTCATGATCAGTCAGACTACCGAGAATCATGTACAATGGAGTTGACATGTCACAAGTGCAATGGACATAGTAACTTAAGTGAATGAAGAGAAGTGGACCCAATAGCATTAGTGTGCTCTAAGTGTGACGTGTAGCCTTCTGTGTGTGTGTGTGTGCTAGACAAAGACAAGAGGACAGAGGGATGTTGTAGGACATGTCTTATCTATATTCGACATGACTGCAATTTCAGTTTTCAGCTTCTGAGCTGCATGTGAAATCCTGTGTAAATACTCATTTCTACTTTTTGAAGTGCAAGAAAAGTTAAAATCTGTCACACCAACTTCATGAGACAGAACTTGGATGTACTCTTACTTGGTCAGGTAGTGCCCACTGTCATGTTTGTAAGAGAGTCCACCAGCCAATCAAGATTAATTGGATGTTTTTTATACAATTGCAGTAAATTAAAATGCAAACAAAGGGCTTGTAAGAGCATTAAAATAATTGCATTGGTCCCAGTTATAAATACATTGACTGTATTTTAAAAACAACTCTTTGTAACTCCCCAGTACTGTATGACATAGGGTTTTTAATTATTTTTTGGAAGGTGAGACCTAAGGTTGCCCCTTCAGTTAGGTCTGACGTGTTGAACTGAATAACAGTTCCATGAGTTTCAAGGTGAGTGTGAATGTCAAGACTGAATAATGATCACAGATAAAATGCTGTAAACTATTAAATGGGATATTTTCAATTTATGCTGTGTATTGTCTTTTGGGTTGGAGAAAATAAGCAAAAACCTAAATAAAAATCTATCAAACTTCTTGTTTTGTGTTGTTTTTACGGTTTTTTTTTTAAGTTTTATTTCTATAAGCTTTTTATTTTAATAAAAAAACACTTGCTCAGCTTGCTCTAAATCTGATCTGAGCATGCTGTGGCCTAGTTCAAAGAAATCCTAGAATGGGATGTCTATAGACATGCCTATCGGCAAACCTTGTTTATCATTACTGTGAATTGTTCTATGTGCCTAGGTTATTTCAGTTTTACTAATAATTCCGATGATGCCACAGTGGGCTTTAGAAGAACCATTAGAAGTGAATTGCAGGCTGAGGTCGCAGTAACACCAGTCTGCCTATGGTAATGTTAAACTGCCATCATCTGTAGCCCCTCGCCTCCGTCAAAAAGGGGGCAGTGGCCGATGAATAAAACGCCTCCGCCCGCCCATGTGATGTTTATTGATCAGGTCTCGTGCCCATCTGACAGTGCGCACCGTCAGTCTGGAGTCTCTGGATATGGCGTCGCTGTATGGACACATGATGCGTTTTTATCTCTGCGTGGGAATTGGCTTGTCGAGTGCCCTCTGGACTATGTTCTACCTTGTTTACAGTGATTGTTAACAGGAAATAAACCTTGACATGGCCATGAAGGACGAGAATAATTCAGCGGTGGCCGTGGCGTCTACCAACCAAGTGGGCACGAAAAGCGAAGGTGATGTCGAAGATACCGGGGCTTCCTCGGGCAGGCAGCCGCCGTATAAGACTGACCGTCTTCAGATGGGGCTCGGTCATACGGCGGGTCGTGGTAATCGCAGTGGACCGGCAACTCGGACTGGAATACGAGTACTCAAGGCAGGTCATGATTAGTTTTTATGGTAAAATGGCCAATGCACCAAGGGCAAAGTGCTAAAACTAGTCTTTTGTACATATGCTATGCTTTCATTGGCTCAAAGAGTAGGCTCTGTAGAGTACTAAATGCTTGGTTGTTATTATTATGTAATAGCTAAGATGCAGTGATTGACGTGCTCTAGTTGCTGATTGATCTGTTGGTGGTTTACACTCGGAAGGAATTTATGCCAGGGTCACTCACAAACCACATTTCCCACACACCTATTCCAAAGGCTTAGGTTGCATAAGAAATAACATGATTTTCTGGGACTTAGGTAAACTGGTAATACATGATCAACTGAGTTTTGATTTATTATGGAATAAACTTTCACCAAATACCCCTGTCAAAACTTTTCCCGATAGGTTACATCATAACCAAGACAAATATCGAAATTTCTAAGTTAAGGAAAACATGACACATGGGCCTGCCCATTTTCTTGATTAAGTTTGGACATTACATTACATATACTGAATTGTTAGGACGAATGATCAGTGAGGTGTAGCTGTTCTGAGAGCAGTGAGGGAAGGCTCTGGATCACATCATCTTTGTGACTTGATTATTCTATATGAATATTCAAATCAGTCAGTCAAAATTCCAGTTGAGATCCATGTACAAATGCATTTGAGCATTATAATAAGCTTTGAGTGACATTCATTGCGGTAACTGTCTGATTAGCAGAAGACTGGTGGTTCAATCCCAGCTCAGACAGCAGGATATATATATATATATATATGTGTGTGTGTGTGTGTGTGTGTACTAATCAAATTGTTTCCCTAACTTGCAGCGTAACATGAAAAGAAATGGGAGTCATAGCTGTGTAACAAGAAAGAGCCGTTTTGGATCTCGTGAGCGGGACTGGCTGAAAGGGGACCCTCAGCGAGGCTGTGTGTGTTTGTATGGTGGCATAGTGGACATGCAACCGTCTGCCTCTGGAGCCCAGAGCTCATCCACTCCTCACAATGACCTGCAGCTCGTGCTGTGCACCACCAGCACCACTGTGCTGGAGCTGTGCGCGCAGCGGGACGGGAAAGCTCTGTATGTACAGCTTCATGGAGATTTAGTCAGGTACAGTTGTTTTAATTGAAGTAACATATTATCTTTTATTCAAATATGAAAGATAAGACTGTTCTTGAATACCATATTATTATGCTCTGGCAACATAAGATAAGTATTTAACAGTCAAAGGTCTATTAGTATCATCTCTAATGTTCTCAGATCTTTCCAGGTAATCCCTAATGCCATTTATGTTTATAGTGCAGTTTTTAATTAGCTATGTCTTGGCTATTTACAATGGGACATTTTAACATCCTTTTCAGAGGAGACTCATCTTCCTCAACCTCAAAGATTCTTTAATTCAGTTTATGGTCATATTTTACTCCACTGTTTTGATTTAAAGGTGTTTATTATCTTATTAAATGAATTTTAATCCTGTGACCAGGAGGCTGGGTCCCTCCGAAAGGCCTCTCCAGATGGTTTATGAATACTTGACAGCGATGGGATACACAGACCCAGTGCGGATACAACAGGAAGCTGCCAACTCAGACCTCAGCTGTTTGATCCGCTTTTACAGTGGTGAGTGCAGCCTGCTGCTGAATTGTCTAAGACATTTAGATTTTTTGTCATTTACAGAGGATAGGTTTGTTGTCACAAGAATTTAGTAAGATTGTACTAAGCCTAGTCTGTTTTCAGTGATATCTGTTGTAGCTGATATAAACACAGTACTTAAGTATGTGGTGGTTTGGTTACATTTTAAACTTTTGTTTTGGAAAAATAAATCTGTTCTTTTGAAGTTTGTACTTATATAATAATGCACATTGGTGTATTTGATGTGGCAGCACTGTGCTCTCGCAGCCTTATGGCCTTTTCCTTATTCTAATGCAGTGTAATGCAGTAGGTGATTTATTAAACTCCACCACAGGATTATTTGTTGCCTAAACTCATCTCTAGCATTTATTACCCATCAGCCCACACACTCCTTTTTGCTCACAGCAGAGACTAAAACAAACATTGACCAGGAGGTAAACATATCAAAATGCTGACCTATGTAAAAACAGCTCCTGAAGCAAGTGTCTGTGTGGGATGTTTAGTGCAGCTGTAGAGACCCTCCTAAGGCTCTGGTCTGATCCACACAGCAACGCTTTTAACTTCTGGAAATGTTCCATAGGCTACTTCCATCACCAGATTCACCACAGCCACACTGAGGTACCTGGTGCATGAAGACAGCTTCTCTGGGAAAATGTATACAACATCAAAACTGCGTGAGAATCTGGGTGTAGTGAATGAACATTTGGAAATAACCATCCATAATTAACAAAAAAATGTGCATTGTGCTTTGTAGTTGATTTGACAATAGTTATGGTGAATAAGTAGGCCATTTATTTTACTGTAGAAACGCTGGACCAAAAAAAGAACATGCTATAACAGTCATTATCATGCCATTAGTGAGATATTACTTACACCTTGTTATGTGTTTATTGGTGTGAAGTGGACTTTGGGACTGTGAGTGACCTGTTTCCCTGGCAACAAACTGGCCAGAGGCATGTGTTTGCTTTGGACCTGTTAAATAGGCCAGAAGTATTTTATACAGTTTTTTTTACTGAGGCAAAATTCTAA